ATTTGAAACTCGGGCCGTGACTAGGAAAACCGCTAAAACGCAGTTTGAAATTCAATTATACAAACTGCTTTCTTGACTGCGCCTTAGTTTTCTCAAAAAAAAAGAAAGGGATAATTTTCAAAATAGTAAAATACCCCCATAAGTTGAGATATATGCCAAACTGCCCCTAAAAGATGTGAACAGAGTGGAATGCCCCTCTGAGTACAAAATACTCTTTTGTGAAATATCCCTGGCATCAGTTGGACCCCCCCCCCCCCCCCCACCACGACCACCACTTTGCAATATACCAGCGGGTACCATCCAACTTTGCAAACTGGCCCCTGATTGCAAACTGCCCAGACCCAACAGGGGAGGTCCACATTGCAACTTTGCGCTCGGGCCTGACAGGGGCATAAGACAAAGATTTCGCTCCAAAAGGGCATTCCGCTCTACCCACACCTTTCAGGAGCATCTTGGCATCGCTCTCAACTTATGGGTCTATTTTGCAAATTAATCCCTTCCCGGCCCCCAAAAAGAGTAACGCCCGAATTCTGTTCATCGCTCCTTGCTGCAGTCTTTTCCTTGACGGCGGCGGAGGGCATAGTCGCAATCAATTCCGTTCACTTCGACTTTTTTTGTTTTCCCTTTTTTTTTAAATTTCACTTCGACTTGCATACGTCATTACGGCCCGCCTTGCTGTACTCCTGTCCTTGAGGGCGGCAGAGGCCATGCTCGCACTAACGGCCAGATCCCAGTGGCAAGGACGATTGGAATAAGTGTCTGAATCAGGACGTGTTCCAAGCGGAGATTCAGAAAAGCATAGTTCTCTGCACGTCGACTCAAACACGTCCACATTCAGACTCTCATTCCAATCCTCTTTGCCAGACTGAGTGGGATAGGGCCCTAAATTCCGTTCATTCATCATGGCATGGATGTGGCCGTGATTACGGCTGAAGTCATTTCCGATGTCAACGAGTCCTCGGGCGTGATCCCACTAGCAAAGGGGATCGGATCGAACGCCGGAATCTGGACTTGTTTTTGGAGAGGTGCGGGAAATCGAGATTGAACTGCTTTTTCTGCATCTCTGGGTAAAACACACCCAGATTCAGGCATTCGATCCGAACCTCTTTGCTACGCTAGTGGGACCTCGGCCCTCGTGTACGTGCCTCTATCGGGGCAGGATTTCCTCCATCCGGCCGTAGTTCATTCTCACACCTACCGGTAGTATAAAATCAGTAGGTAGATGCATCTGACTGCAATTACAGTCCAAGGTCATCGAAGAGGTGTGACTGTGACCCTTTGTTTGCACTCCCCATTTCCTCCCTCCTTCGACCTCCCTCCCAAATGCTCCATCCCGTTTTTTTTCTGAAGCATTTTTTCTGAAGCATGTAAACCCTAAACTACAACAATGGGACACTGGACGGCGAGCCTAGGTCATCATCTCGTCAGTGACCACAGTCTTGTCTGCAAGTGCGGCTCGCTGCGGCTCGGGTTTCGTATCGAATGCAGAAGAACCTTCGACTCCCAAAAAAAAAAAAAAAAAAAAAAGAAGAACCTTCGAGGAGTTGGCACTTGG